AGGTCCCTTCCAACCCAAACCATTCTATATGGTTTCTACTCTGAAAAAGGAATAAAGCATTGTCCATCTTTTGCTTGAGAACCCTATACTGAAAACTCATTCCTGAATGATTTAAAGGAGTTAAAACCTGACTAGTATTTGCAATTTGGACTTCATCATATTTGCAGTTTACACTGCAGATCCAGCTCTCACAGCACAACTAAGACACAATTCAAGCCTGGGGCAAAATTAATTAATTTTATCTACAAAGGCAAGGAACTCTAATCCACAGAGAACACAGTGTCTACCTGTGACCTTGCTAGTGGAGCAGCACTTAATGGTATTAAAGCATATGTATTGAGTTCAAAGCAGTCTCTGCAAATAGTCTTGGAAATGTTTTCATCTTCCAAGAAACAGTAAATATTCAAATGCCCCCCTCCTCCCCCCAGCACTGATATTGAGAATTCAAGTAATTTTTTTGTATAGGGTTGCAATTTGACTTGACTTTAAGATCCAATGTTCATCTGCAAAAATTATTCTTCAGACTTTAGTTAATCTTTTCAGGCCCATCTCCTCTGTCATTTGTTACTGCCAGCTAATCTAACCAATGCTGACAAAGGAGATTTAACCTGGTAATTAAATGTGGTAATATCTGCCAGCACAGATCTACAAGCTTTGTTTTCCACCTTCATTCTTAAGCAGGGTTTCTAAGGACGCCAAAAGGAGCCTCAGGGTGTCTGTCAGTAGACTCCAGCTCTACACTCAGCCCCTAGATTCCCTACTTAGACTTTTCCTTTCTGCTCACAGACTTGGACGTGGTTGTCAGAGCAGAGGTGCCAACATCAAAGTTTGAGGCTTTCATCAAAGCCATTAAATTTCCATGACATTTAGCCACTGGCATTCTCCAGTAGGATTGTTGTACCTCAGCCTGGGGACTCTTTCTGACATAATACAGTGACAACATCCAGGCTTGCAGCCAAAATTAATACTCATTAAAGAATCACAGACTACTCTAATGTTTGTTAATCTTAGTGCAGAAGCTTTTTCATTTTAGTATCTACCTTTATAGGTCTGCTGGGTCCACGTTGCTGTTTGAAGGGATTGCATTCCTAATAAACCTAGAGGGAGGGCTAAAGAGCATGTACGTACTCTCTCTCCACGCCTAATTCCAAAGACTACAGGGTATGACAACAAAATCTCACTGTGTTCAGAGAATTCAGTCTCCCCCAAGAGCATTAGCTACCCCCTCTCCCACAGTCCCTCTACAGGGCCAGTGATATTTTTCCTCAAACTACTTCCCACTGTGCTTCTACCGTAGGCCCCCGCTATAAGGATAGTCCTCAGGTTCTCTCTAGCAGAGAGAAACCACCTGCTTTTAGCAACTTGTTACCTCCAATTGTTAAGGACTAGTCAAGCATAGAAAAAAGAGGAATTTTTTCTCTCCCTTAACCTTGCAACATACCCTTTCAAAAACATCATTTCCTCCTATAGCTAAGTATATCTTTGGAAAGAAGTGCTAAAACATGGTGGTTCTGAACTGATGATGGTTTCTGCTCACTGTAGTAATGCTTGGTCAAAGGGCAAGACAGCAAAGAAGAAACCCATCGAGTTTTTAACTGATTTCATTCCACATGTTACTACAGAGCTGATCTACTGAAACAGAAGCAGAGATGAGAAATACCATGCCTAGTTGCTACAGAATAGATGCCAGGTTCAAGAAACACTGCTGTACTAACAATATTAACATTTTTATTAACATTATTCTATTTTTACTGACAGAAACTCAAACAATTCACACAATTTAAAATGTACTTATACAACTCAAATTGGTTTTGTTCATTACATGATCGTTCATAAGGTGAATGCCAATAAGAATGAAAAACATAAAATCAGGCCCATATATTCAAAAATTAAAACTCCAAAGATTATATGAAATGTTATACATTTTCTTGGAAAAAAAGTGTTCATTTGTAGTGAATTGTGAAATAGACGATGGTAGAGTAAAAATCTGATCGTGAAACACATTGACGGTGAAAATTAAATACGAAACAGACCATTGCTCTTGCATGTCAGTATCTACCTTACTTGTATAAAAATCAGGCCCTGAGAGTATACAGAACCTTACATATGTGTTGAAATAAGTCTGTGTTACCTTGCCTTATAAGGAATATAGAAAAAAGAGCTGATTCTGGAAAATTAACCTAAGGTGAAGAAAAGATATTTTTCCAAAATATAATGATGGAAATGGCAGGTATATGGCTTTTTAAAAGAAAATTTGCTGAAATTTGTTGGCAATTCAGATATGCAGAGAGCACAGAAAAAACATATTCGAAAGTCAGCATTACACTCCTTTTTATAATTTTTTCCACTGGCTGTGAGATTGCATAAGAGGCAGTTGAATAAAAGCTGACAAACATTAAACTTCATCCATTTTCTGAAAAACCTATTCTTCTTAGGGCCATCTTACTCAAGCAGGAACACTACAAATGCTGACATTTCATAATAAAAATAAGTAACTGTATTATGGAAATACAAAGTTTTAAGACTGAACTGTTCAAGTGAAAATAAAAGGTATTTATGATGAAGTGATACATTATCCCACATAATTGCAAGAAGAGATGTATTTATATTTTCATAGGTTACTGGAAATACGGATTATAGGTTCTCCGAATTTTCATTGAAACTGATTTAATTTTGACTGGTTTATTGTTCATTGTCCAGGTATCCCAGTGAATCCCAGTTGCAAGAAATCTACCTGTGTAGCGATGAACACCATTAAGATTTGCAAGGCCACACTGGTTGAACCACCATCCAGTGTTATCACTGAAGTTACTGCAGCTCTTGACAAGCTGTTCTTTGATAGTGCACATTGGCCTGCACCCATCATTATCAACATCGAATGTGCTGAAAGGCATTGAGTTCTGGTTATCTTCTTTTTTATATCCTCTGAATGCATCACCTAAGTACAACAGATAAAACAGAAGGATGAAAGAGTTCTTCATGGAGAAACATAACATTTCTTACTTGTTGCATACCTCACAAGCTTTTCCTAATGAGCTTCCTCACAAGCTTTTCCTAATGAGCTGGCAAAGTGTTAAAGACGTAGGAAAGAAAAAGTGTAAAATACTAAGTATGGAAGAAGTTGAAATTCAATGAAACATCTTTATATTGCTGTTGCTTTTAGTGACACACACCAGCTATGAAGGTAAAGGTTTCTATCCTCAAAGACAGTGGAAGAAAAGATAAAAAACAGGGTTGTTGTTAACTTCAGATTTTCCAGTGATGTGCCCAAAGCCCCAGAGTGAGTCATGGGATAAAATGGAATTGCTAAAACACAAAGGTCAGTGATTACTGGTTCTGTCATCTAAAGAAATAATGTTTCTTACAAATACAGGTAGAGCGAAGCACCAACACATTTAGAGAACAACTATTACGTTGGTAATAAGGAACATCGTTGCATATTAGTAAGCACACAGAAAAAAAAAAAATAGAAAAAAAGCAGTAAGATGGTGCAATACTTAACATAAATCTTTGCACATTTGGTAGAGCTATGATATTAAGGGACGTCTGGAACTGTAAATTAATTTGTGTCCATATATCAGCCAATAACTGTTATACTGTAGGCCTAATTTGTTCCAGTTGGTTTCTTTCTCTATCCTTTGTATGCTACTGTCTGGGCACTTCTGGACTAACCAAAGCAACAACATTAGGAAGACTTCTACTAAATCAGCAAATTTGGGATGAGATAATGGACATCTAAAGAATTGGACCACTAGATAGATATGCACAAACACACACAAAATCCCTTATGTGTTTTATATATATTCTGTGGACTTGAATCCATTAAAGTTCCTTGATTTTCTTTATTAATTTTCTTTATTAAGGGAGTTTTTATTTAATCATTCCATTAAAGACCTCAAAGCCATAGAATAAAATTATTTCTTACTATGAAAAGATTCATGTTGGAGTAACCAATCACTACATCATTAACGATTTATCTGCATGTTAATTAAGCACCAAATAGAGAAAAATAGTTAGGAAATAAACATTTTTAAAGTTATCTTAATTAAGTATTACTCTTTTGAATGCATTTTTTCACATTAAGAGAGGGAGCGGCTATCTTTAAATACTTTAAAGGAGGTTCTTACCAGCGTTTCCTGAATAACGCCCCAAATGGATCTTAAAAGAACATGCCTCATCCTCTATCCAAAATCCATCATATGATGCATAGGCATGCTTGTCATTTTCTGATTCCAAATCCACATAAAGACTGAAACTAGTGGATTTTTGATTTACTATGTGAAAAATCTTCCTCAGTCCAAGCCAAAATTCCCCTAAACCAGAAATATAATATAGAGTCAATAAACTTCTAGAAAGGGAAAGTGTAAAAGAAAAAATGGATCCTTCTAGTTTTTCTACTTTTCTTCCTGAACCAAGTGGAATAAAAGTTGTATGATAGGGTTATATTCCTTTGAAAGACTAATGAAGATACAGAGAAATCTTCCTACTTCATTGGGAAATCCATGGAAAGAATTCCCATGTGCCCGTGTGCACATCATCTTTTTTCTCTGAGACATTTATAGAAAATTGTCCATATATAGCTTTGAAGCCTTCACCTTCAGTATAACTTAGGAGACCACAAAAACTGGATGTGCTAAAGATCCACTTGATTAAACAGAATTCAGTAGAATTCCTAAGGGCAATACGGAGAAATGCTAAATGTTAGCATTCTATGAAATGTAACAAAACTCAAACCCTATTCTTGAGATTTGCCGCCTCTGTAAATCACACTTTATTCCATGAAAGGTTAAGCCATATATACTGCGCTTTTTTGTATAGTTTAAAAGTTGTGTGCTTTCATTGCAATCCCAGATAAACTCCTGAAAAAGCAACTAGTTTTAGATTTGCTGGATGAAAGGTGGCAGTAAAAAAGTAATATCAAAGTTGTGTTGGTATTAGCTACTGAAATATTACCATTCTGTTTCTAACTTTGCATGCCCTATGGTGAAATATTACTGATTTTTCTCTGCTTTAAGGACTATTTTGCAAATGTGATTAAAACCAAGTCTTTTTTTAAAAAAAAAAATCTGAAAAAAAAAAAGGAGAAATAGAATTTATAAATTATTTCAGGAAGAAAATACCACATTTTAAACACCTCTTGTGACACTGAGGATGGGCAGTGGCTAAAGACTCTAGCATGTTGATGGTCATTATTGAGGAGATCACACAATACATTTGATGAAATAAAACTTTTAATTATAAATAAGGCTTTTAAGAAACAAGAACTTTACGCTCTGTACTACTAAAAATCCCACACAAGTTAGTGGCATGTAGCTCACATAAAGACAGCAGAAACATTGGGTACAAAGGACTTTACAGTACTTAAAATTAATACCAGAAAGGTCACCAAATCCATCCAGATATTCAGACCATGTTCTCTGAAATGGAATTATTCCATCAGTTCTTTTCTGAACTACAGTCCATCCACCTCCTTGAAAATCCATGTCACACAAAACCTAAAATAGACGTCAAAATGATTAAGCATTCTTGAAGCAGCTGTTATGAAGAAAACATTTTAATTAAATAAAGGTGAAATATTGAGAGTTTTGCTAAGCAACATACCTTTCAAATATTTTAACAAAAAGCTCAAAGAAAATAAAAAATGAAGCTGTAGTATTTTCTTATATGCTCTTGTTGGACTGCTTGATTTGGATATTTCCTCAACCAGTAGAAACTGTTGTATGCAAATGTCTGCTCACATCAGATATAATAAATAAGCTTTAATAAAAGTTACTGTGTGTTAACAACAGCATGAAGTGGAAGCAACATGCAAGGTCATGTATTAAACATGCAAAATATTGCAGATACAGGCACTAACACTGAATATACCTTTATTTCAGCAAAGCAAAATAGACACAGCTTCTTATGTATTCTCCCTAACCATCATACCTTCTTCCCCAGAAATACTGTGTTTGTGATGTCTGAGAGACGCAGAGCCCTTAATAAAGGTGAGGAAATGGAAAAAGTGATAGCAATAATCTAGTAAATAATAATTTATGCTGTAGACACAAAAAACTCTACATAAGAAGGGGCCCCAATCCAGGGAAGTCCCAATGTGAACATTTAACAGCCTGCAACTGAGCAGTCCCACTAAATAAGATCAACTCTTAAATTTATGAGTCTTTATGAGTCTTCACTAAACTTTGTGCCCAACAGCATATCAAATGGCAGTGGTTCCAGCTGCCCTCTGCTCTGCTATGGAATATCACATTATGTGGCACATGTTCTCCTTAGCCCATTTAACTTTAGACATGTAATCGAGTTCCCTAAATTAGGCATCTTACTGCCCTTGTCTCTTGTCTTCCCTGTAATCTGCCTTATATGGAGAAATGTGCATTTGTAGCCTGGCTGTGGGAAACCAAGATCTAAATCACCCTCTGCAGAGGTCAGTCACCTCCACTGTAGACAAACCCTTGGCTGCTCTCTAGGGATTTCAACTAAATGCCTAAAGTTAAGTGGAATGTATCCAGGTCACTGGGTGTTTTTCAAGTATGTCCCCAGTGCCAGAGCTTCACCAGTTCCATCAGGGATTACAAAATCCAGGCATCCTAATGTTGAAAGGTGCGAATTGCACATTTAGACACTGCACCACCTAAGCTGTTCAAAGTAGTTCTAGGGGATACTATGCGTAATTAGTGTTGAAAACCAGAGGCTTGTTTGTAAGCATCTCTCAATCTGATTAATATCGGGAGAATTCACCTGGAAAAGGCTTATAGCTATGGAGCCATTAAGGTACTTGTGATAACAAAAGTAAGTTCAGAATATAATGTTGGCTATCAGTAAATCATAACAGTAAGCAGATGCAAAAGTGATGGAGTAAAGTAGGAATTTTTTTGTTCATGTTACAGGGAATGTACACAATGGAATGTGTTTCAGAAAAGAGAGATTTGCAATCTTAGCCAGTTGGTGAAACTAGAATCTAGGTGGAAGTCAGTTTAGCCCTCAAAGAAATTGTGGCAGTCTGAGCTTTGTATGTTGCACACCCATTGCCTGCACCAGTCAGATATTTTCATAGAATCACAGAATGGTTTGAGTTGG